GGGACTAGATAAACTTCATGAATTAATGCCAAAGATAATCCGTACAGCAGAACAGAAAGATCTAGCACCCCACGTTCGAGATGGTTATATCATGACCTTTATATATCTCCCTGCTACATTCGGTCCTGATTTCTCTACATATGTTGGTCCCATTATACCATCTATCTTACAGGTAGGTTGGTCCTATTATACCATCTATCTTACAGGTAGGTTGGACCTATTATACCATCTATCTTACAGGTAGGTTGGTCCTATTATACCATCTATCTTACAGGTAGGTTGGTCCTATTATACCATCTATCTTACAGGTAGGTTGGACCTATTATACCATCTATCTTACAGGTAGGTTGGTCCTATTATACCATCTATCTTACAGGTAGGTTGGTCCTATTATACCATCTATCTTACAGGTAGGTTGGTCCTATTATACCATCTATCTTACAGGTAGGTTGATTTGAATTTTGGTTGAAAATTAGACCAAACTTTCATTCTGTATAGCTTTTATTTTTACTCAACCACTCCAGTTAATGTCTATCTGATGTTCTCTCCTTTAACCAATCAAATACACTGGACTAATTTGATACAGCCAATAAATACACCTTTTTTTAGTGTCTTCGTTATCTCAGCGATGGAGAGGGCAGAAATTTGATGGCTGGGGGTCAATATAGAAGTTATATTGTGTTATTAGACCCAAACTTTATAAGGCGATAAAACTACATCTTTCTAGTAATAATCTTTCTTATTCAGCAGATGAATTTGAGCAAAACTGAAAATGTGAATTATATTTTAGGCATTAGCTGATGAGACAGAGTTTGTAAGAGATACAGCTTTACGAGCTGGTCAGAGATTGATTAGTCTGTTTGCTGATACAGCTATAGAAGTATTACTACCAGAGTTAGAGAAAGGATTGTTCTCAGATAACTGGAGAATTAGATACAGTTCTGTACAATTACTGGGAGATTTACTATTCAAGATATCAGGTATGTTTGATCCAACAATATCATATAGTCCAACAATATTATATAGTCCAACAATATCATATAGTCCAACAATGTTATATAGTCCAACAATATCATATAGTCCAACAATGTTATATAGTCCAACAATATCATATAGAGTCTCACATTGGGTGTTGTTAACTTCTTAATCTTTGTTTATGGCCAACTGTTATCAAAAAAAAAAAATCTTGTGCTAAATTGGTACAGAAAATAAAGTTGTGAATTATTAGTTGAAGTGGATGTATATGCTTAAGATTGCATATAGTCAATTTTTTTTATATCTAGTCTGAAAGTTATATTAAAATAAATATTGCTTTCAATGATTTTACCTGCAAATGACAGTTAATTAAGATGATTAATATTTAACACTATTAGTCAATATTTATAAAAGGGGAGTGTTGTCAGAGTAGTCTGAATTGAGTTATGAACCAGTTCACCTCACAAATTGAACTTAATGTTGCTGGTCATGGAGATTTCCAATCAATTATGAGTCCTGAGCATCCACTGTATAGTGTCACTTGCCAGAATTGAACCCTAATTGACCTTATTTCTGGTGCTCCACTCCTGAGTTACCAGGATTCCCTGCCAGAGAATTGATTGACCTTTGTCTCAGACCTTCCCAGGGGATGATGAAAGTAACAAGTACCTGTGTGTATCCCTTATTGTGAGCATTAACAACACTCCCTCAATGCAGTCGTTAGCTCAAGAAGCATATAAACCAGGGATCTATCTTTTTAGATTTTTAAATGGTCAAAATATTCAGCATTATATTTTTTTTTTAAATTTGCTAATAATTTTGTAAACTTTGGATTATGAATACAAATTGCTCAATATCAGTACTATATATTACTGTATTAAATTTGAAAATTGATTCTGGAGTTTTCATGAAAAATGAAGATTAACTGAAAAATGATATTATTTAGTAAGGGGAGATAACTTGTATTTCAGGTGTCACTGGTAAATGACTACAAGATCTACTGTGATGATGAT